CTGAGATGAATTTCCCTTGGTCATGGCCAATGATGTTTTTGATGTGTTGTTGGATTTGGTTTGCTAGTATTTTGTTGAGGATTTTGCATTTATATTTATTATGGATATTGACATGTATGTATGATTTGTTGTTGTGTCTTTGGTTTTGATATCAAGGTAATGCTGACCTCATGGAATGAGTTTGGAGAAATTCCTCCAACTTCAGTTTTTTGGAATAGTTTGAGAAGAACTGGTATTAGTATTTCTTCAAATGATTTATAGGATTTTTTAGTCAATCCATCAGGTCCTGTGCTTTTCTTAATAGAACACTTTATTAATGATTCCATTTCCTTAGTCATGATCGGTCTGTTAAGTTTTCTGTTTCTTCATGATAGAATTTTGGTAGGTTGTATGTCTCTAGGAATTTATTGATCTACTTCCAAGTTTGCTATTTTGTTGGCATATAGTTGTTCATAATAATCTCTAATGATCTTTTTATTTCTGTGCTATTAGTTGTGATATGTCCTTTTTCATCTCTGATTTATTTGAGATGAAATAAATCATCTTTTTTTCTTTGTGTAGCTTAATGTTCAATTTTGTTTATTAAAAAACAAACTTAATTTTATTCACATTTTATATGGTTCTTTAGTCTCTATTTTATCTGTTTATGCTCTGATCTTTATTGTATTTCCTTCAACTAATCTCGGGTCAAGTTTGTTCTTGTTTTTCTATTTCTTGTGGTACAACAATAAAATTACTTATTTGAGATCTTTCTATTTTTTTTTATATGTATGTTGGAAAAAATGTCACTCTTAGAACTGCTTTTGCTGTATCCCATAGGATTTGGTATGTTGTTTTCATTTTTGTTTGTCTCAAGAAAATTTTTAGTTTTTGAAATATATTGACCCATTGGTTGTTCAGGAGCATGTTGTTTAACTTCCACATATTTGTACAGTTTCTAGTTTTCCTCCTATTATTGATTTCTTGATATGTTTTAACTTAAAACAATTTAAGAATTGTTTTGTGGCCTAACATATTACTGGAGAGTATTTTATTTGCTGTTAACATACTGTGTATTCTGCATCTAGTTGGTAGAATAGTCTTTAATTGTCTATTAGGTTCATTCTAGAGTGTGGTCTGATTGTTGATTTTTTGTCAGTATGATCTGTTCATTGTTGAAAGTGGGGTGTTGAAGTCCTCTACTATTGTTGCATTGCAGTCTTTCTCTCAATTGAGGTCTATTAATATTTGCTTTCTAAAATTGAGTTTATATATATAACTTCTCTTGCTGTATTGAACTCTTTATAATTGTATATTGGCCTACTTTGTCTCTTTTTACAGTTTTCAGCTTCAGGTCTATTTTATATGATATAAATATAGCCACTCCTGTTGTCTTTTTGTTTTCATTTGCAGAGAACATTTTTTTCCCATCTTTTGACTTTCAGTCTATACATGTCCTTACAGGTGAAATTAGTCCCTTGTAGGCAACATATAATTTGGTCTTGTTTTATTTTTATCTATTTAGCCACTCTGTGTCTTTTAATTGGGTAATTTATCCATTTACATTCAAGGTAGTTGTTGATATGTAAGGGCTTAGTGTTACTATTTTCTTTTCTAGTTATCCTATAGATCCTTTCTTCCCTTATAGTCTTATTTGTGGTTAGGCACTTTTCTCTAGTAGTATGTTTTAGTTCCTTGCTTTTTATTTTTGGTGTATCTGTTACAGGTTTTTGCTTTGTGGTTACCATGAGACTTACAAAAAACATTCTATAGTTATAACAACTTATTTCAGAGACTTCCAAATTTAACTTTGTGAAGAAACAAAAAAGTGTACACTTTAACTCCATTCTCTCCTCACATTTTGTATTTTTGATATGATCTACATTTTTATATTACCTATCGTAACAAAGTATTGCAGCTATTTTTGATAGTTCATTTTTTAATCCTAATACTAAAGATATAAGTGGTTTACATATCATGATGATAGTATTAGAATGACAATCACGTTAGCATCCTTTTTATGTTTGAAGAACTTTTTTTTAGCATTTCTTACAGGACAACTCTAGTAGTGGTAAATTCCCTCAGCTTTTGTTGGTGACAGTCTTCTCTTTTTCTGAAGGAATACTTTCTTGGTTGCAGGGTTTTTTTTTTCCTTCAGTACTCAGCATGTATCATCTCACTTCCTTCTGGCAGCAAGGTTTCTGCTGAGAAGTCTGCTGCCAGGTGTACTAAATCTGTCTTATATGTTATTTGCTTCCTTAGCTGCTTTTAGGATCTTTTTTTAATCTTTGAACTCTGAGGGTTTGATTATAATATGTCTTGGGGTACTCTTATGTAGGTTGAATCTGATTGGTGACCTTTGACCTTCCTATGCTTGGGTATTAATTTTTTTTTTCCAGGTTTGGAATGTTTTCTGTTATTAATTTGCATAAGCTTTTAACCACTCTGTCTTCTTGAATTCCCTCTTTAACTCTAATAACTCCAGTATTTGCTCTTTTGATACTGTCCCACAGACCCCATAAGCTTTCTTCATGTCATTCTTTTCTTTTTTATTCTCTGTGTGTTTTCAAATAGTGCGTCTTCTGGCTCACTAATTCTTTCCCCATTTGATCAACTGTGCTGTTGAAACCCTCAGTTGCATTTTTCATTTTATTCATTGCATTTTTCAGTTCCAGGATTTGATTTTTTAAATTACTTCAGTCTTTTTGTTAAATTTCCCTGATAAATTTTTGAATTGATTCTCTGCTCTTTCTCAAAGTGTAGTGAGCTTCCTTAAAACAGCTCTTTTGAATTGATTCAGAGATCACACATCATTTTAGGCTCGACCTCTGGTATCTTATTTTGTACATTTGGTGAGATCATATTTCCCTGAATAGTCTTGATGCTTGTGGATGTGTGACAGTATCTGCACATTAAAAGATTAAGCTTTTATTCCACTTTCCACAGCCTGGCTTTATTTGTGCCTGTCTTTCTTTTTCCCCATTTATTTATTTTATTGCATTTTAGGTTTTGGGGTACATGTGAAGAACATGCAAAATTGTTGCATAGGTACACACGTGGCAGTGTGATTTGCTGCCTTCCTCCCCATCACCTACATCTGGCATCTCTCCCCTTGCTATCTCTCCCCAGCTCCCCACCCCCCACCGTCCCTCCCCTATTTCCCCCCAACTGACCCCAGTGTGTAGTACTCCCCTCCCTGTGTCCATGTGTTCTCATTGTTCAACACCCGCCTATGAGTGAGAACATGCGGTGTTTGATCTTCTGCTCTTCTGTCAGTTTGCTGAGAATGATGGTTTCCAGGTTCATCCATGTCCCTACAAAGGACCCAAACTCATCGTTTTTGATGGCTGCATAATATTCCATGGTGTATATGTGCCACATTTTCCCTGTCCAGTCTATCGTCGATGGGCATTTGGGTTGGTTCCAGGTCTTTGCTATTGTAAACAGTGCTGCAATGAACATTCGTGTGCACGTGTCCTTATAGTAGAACGATTTGTAATCCTTTGGATATATACCCAGTAATGGGATTGCTGGGTCAAATGGAATTTCTATTTCTTGGTCCTTGAGGAATCGCCACACTGTCTTCCACAACGGTTGAACTAATTTACGCTCCCATCAACGGTGTAAAAGTGTTTCTATTTCTCCACATCCTCTCCAGCATCTGCCTGTCTTTCAAAGTGCCTTCCATAAATTCTAAGCCAACTGACTGTTGTTTCCTGGGCCTGTGAACACAGCAGTCATCTCAGCACTAGAGGGCGCTCGAAGCCCAGGCTTGCTGCAAGTCTCCCAAGGGCTCTGTGATTTACACAGTTCTCCCTTCTTGATGGACCCGAGGAAGAACTCAAGGAGGGTACAGGGGTTATGTGGGAAAGCCGGTTAGGGACTCCAGTACAGAAGACTGTTTTAATGGCCCAGATAAGTGTGTCTCCTAGTGGATCCCTGCATGGAGTGGATAATTCCTTGACTTCAGTGGCAGGGGATGGAGCTGATATTGGACCTGCTCAGTATCTGCTTTGGGAGGGTGGCTGGAGAGCCCATCTCATTGGCTCAGATAGATGCTTGCCTCTCAGCAGATACCTGTAGAGACAGGATAGTTCCCTGACTGCAATGGTTGTGGTGTTTTGTTTAAATTGAATTCTGCTCCAAATTAGTAGGCTGTTGAATAGGGCTTGGAGATCTGTTTATTACATTGCAAGGTTACTCTTTGTAGTAGAAATTGACTTACATCCAAGAACTTGAGTTCTGCTACTGACTCTTTCAAAATGATTCTGCTGCCTATATTGTTGTCCTACCAAACTTCAAATACTCTTCTTCCTTTTACTTTATACTTCTTTATGTTTTTTAGCAGAACTAAATGTTCTCAAAGTGTGGAAGAGGAGAAAGCAAGTTAGGGAAGTTAGTGGAAACAGAAGAGAAAACCAAATAATGCAAACATTAGCAAAGAAATCTATCTTATTGCATTTTATTTCTTTTGTTTGCAAGTGCATGCTTTCCAGGAAAATGTGCTGGGGTAAAAGTGTATCTTGCTTTTTAATGCTTATTTTCTCAGATGTTAATTGGGAGTTAATGGACCTTCCAATTCCTATAAAAATGAATTTAAATCTGTGTGTTAACACAGCAGGGGCTCATTGCCATAACTAGCCCTTTAAGACTGGAAGGACAAGTAACAGATTTATATTCCTTCTTATTCTGCCCTTGAGGAGTTGTATAATGGGGTAGTGTGTAGGGGGTCCAGCCTCCTGTTAGCTGAGGTCATTTAATTAGACCTTGAAATGTATTGTCCCTCCCATTCTTTTTCTACGTGCACACACATATGCTTATATTTATGTATATATGTACATGTATATATATATTTGTATATATAAAGCACCTGTCATGTCAATAGACATTCATGTGTGTGTATGTATATATATATATGCATGTATATGTGTGTTTGTGTGTATAAATATATACATGATTTTTGAGGGCATTCTTTTCAAATTAATAAGTCTAACTTGAAAAACGATTTTCATAAATAACAGAAATCAGGGAGTGGCGAGGACGGTATCCAGCTCTGCCCAAGAGGACATCATCCGGTGGTTTAAAGAGGAGCAGCTACCACTTCGAGCAGGCTACGAGAAAACCTCAGACACTATAACCCCCTGGTTCCACGGTAAGTGCAGAGATTTTCTCAATGGAGCTTCGTCTCATGGCGGATGAAGCTGTGCTAATCCACCAGGAAGAGAGACAGAATAAAAGCTTCCATTTATTGGTGCTGCCCAAAAAGAGTCTTTTAGGTTATTTTCACAAAGCAGTTTTTCAAAGATTCCTCAGTAAGCTGCATTCTCCTGACTGTTTAGAAAGCGGTCAGCATTCATGGGCGCTGTGTGCACTGTGGGCAGATTTGTCACCACAAATAAAACACATCAGGCAGGAGGGAAAAGCAGTATTCTTGGTGACTTACCACTAGGGTGCTTGATTGTGACTTCTATCAAATGGCCACATCCTCCTTCCACCGAGGGAGACTCGGTTAGGGGTGCAGGAATGTGCTGGGCAGAATGCTGGCTGAGCAACCTTGAGCAAATGATTGTTTTTTCTGTAGCAACCCAATTTATCTAAGCCTCATTTTCCCTGTCTATTAAATGAAGGAGTTGAACTTTGTGATCTTGTCAGTGAAAACTTCTGTGGTTTTGACCCCTCATTTCCAGCATGTCATTGAGTGTGCAACATAGGTGGTTGGATCTAGAGCAGGTGTTAGTTAGTACACATTTTCTGTATTTGATCCAAGGAACTTGATTCAAGCCCCTCTTCCACCCAGCGGACACTTCACACACCCCTCTGTTTCTTGGATCTCAAGAAAAGTGAGTGGCTTCTTGCCTCAGTTGACTTCCACAAGGTCTGTGGTTGAATTGCATTAACTGGCTTATAGGGACAACAAAAGGTACTTTAAAATAAAAGTACAGCCCCCTCCCAGAGTTTGTCTGTCCTAAGGGTGTCTTGGTTTGAATTATGTATAAGGCATTTTTCCTTGAAGTAGTATCATCTCACACATAGATATACCTCAAAAAGGGCCAGGCACGGTGGCTCATGCCTGTAATCTCAGCAACTTTGGGAGGCCGGATAACAACATCAGGAGATCAAGACCATCCTGACCAGCATAATGAAAACCTGTCTCTACTAAAATACAAGAAATTAGCCTGGCATAGGGGGCACGCACCTGTAGTTTCAGGTACTTCAGAGGCTGAGGCAGGGGAATAGCTTGAACCCGTGGTGGTATGTACCTGTAGTTCCAGGTACTTCAGAGATTGAGGCAGGGGAATCGCTTGTGTATACATACACGCACGCACACACACACACGCACGCACACACACATACCTATATAGATACACACATACCACAAAATGTAAACTCCCAAACCCATAGCATGGCAAACTCTTCTAAAATGAATAGTTATTTGTGATAGGCTTTCTCCTAAAGGGCTGCCTGTGGGTCAGAACGTTACAGCAGAACTGTCTGGCTTCTCTTGGAGTATGTGTTCTTTGGTGATTCAGACTTTGTTAAGTGTCCATCCCAGAGGAGTCCCCTCTCCTCCGCAGGACCAGGTCGCAAGCCTCTTTCCTTTCTGCTTTAAGACGCTGGGAGAGAGATGATAGTGTCAAAGATGAACAGAAAGAACACGGGCCAATTATGCATTAGCTGTGGCTGTCTCAGCTGTCTGATAATGCCTTACTTTCCTTTTTAGAATAAGCACTGAGGGAATACGCCACTTTGTAGTTTCTGTGTCTTTGGACAAAAGATGCTGTCATCTCTCATTATAAGGATGGTAGTTTTTTTAACAGCAGGGAGTAAGAAATGGAAAATGTTGGTTGTTATTAAAAACCCTGCTACTTTAACAAGAATTTCTGTTTAAAAGGCTGAAAGCTAGGAAGACATAGACTAAAAATCCATTTGGAACTTTGGTTAAAAATATGACTCTTGAGTTTTACATCAAATAACTTATTGAGGTGCAATTATTATTGATTTATTTTCACTTATACGCATACTTTTTGGAGTCATAAGCAAAATAAAAACACTGTATTATAATGTAATAAGCAACACATAGTCACATAGTATATATCTTTATTTTCAGTTTCGTGAAGATAAAGTTTCACATTTTCATGAGAAAGAGAATAAGCATCACATCTTATCTCTTTGAAATGTAATTGTTTATCACCAGGATACCTGTTCTGAAATGATAGGATGGTAACCATTTATAGTTTATCATCTTCTTTTCTTTGTCACATCTGCCATGAATTACCCTTCATAAGATGCTATTTTGGTTGCTTAATTTTTCACCCTACAAAATTTTATACTTGCATCTTTTTCTCTCAATTAAGCTTAAAGTAAGGATTGCAGTAGGTAGGAGAAGGCAAAGGAATTGAAGACTGTTGGATTTCTGGCTTTTGTGGCTGGGAAGAAGGTTGCTGGGCTGTTGGAGAGACAGAACATAGGGGATGAGGAGGGTTAGGGAAGTGGAAAGGAGAACAGAGTGTTTTATTTCACAGCATGGTTAAATTAGTTTAGAGAGTATTGTATGTTTCACAATTATCAAAAGGATAAATTTCCAATGTTGTTGCCAGAAAAAAAATGCTAAGTATTTTATGTGATGGATGTGTTCACGAGTTTGATTTAATTATTCCACAAGTCTATTGCTTCAGACCTATCTCAAGCCACTGTCAGTGACTTGGTCACCTCTCCGGGCCTCCTTTCTGTCCTTCAGACACACTACACTTGTCCCTACCTTAGGGCTCTTGCATTTGCTCTTCCTGTACACCTTGCTTTGGCTGACTTCTTAAGGAATTGACTCACATGATTATAGAGGCTTGTTAAGTCCAAAATCTGACAGGGAAGACTGGAGGTGCAGGGAGGAATGGCCATTCCCATCCAAATGTCCCCTGCTGGCAGAATCCCTTCCTGCTTAGGGGAGGTCAGCCTTTGTTGTAGTAAGGCCTTCAACTGACTGGACCAAACCCACACACATTATGTAGGGTAATCTGCTTTACTCCAAATCCACCCATTTAAATCTCACCCAAGGCCATTTGCGTTGGCTCACGCCTATAATCCCAGCAATTTGGGAGGCCAAGGAGGGCAGATTACTCGAGGTCAGGAGCCGGAGAGGTCAGCCTGACCAATGTGGTGAAACCCCATCTCTACTAAAAATACAAAAATTAGCTGGGTATGGTGATGTACACTTAGAATGCCAGCTACTGTGGAGGCTGAGGCAGGAGAATCGCCTGAGGCAGAGGGTACAGTGAGCCAAGATTATGCCATTGCACTCGGCCTGGGCAATAAAGCGAGATTCCATCTCTAAGTAAATATCCGAAAAAACCTTCCCAGAACCATCTAGAATAATTTTGGGGATCATGGCCAAGTCAATTTGACCCATAAAATTAACCAGGGAAGCAACTTTCTTGGTGAGACTGTGCTGGTTTGCTTGCAATACACAACATTCAGATGAGCAGTTAATTGTCTCCTTTATGAAGCTAGATTTAAGTTCTCAGAGTGAAATCAGACAAAATCATCTCAGAAATCCTCAAAACCACAGGCATGAAAGAGATCATACAGATTTCAATTTTTCCCCTTTCCTTCATAAAAAAGGATTTTTTTCTTTTGAAATATTTTAAACACAAAGTACCAAGAAAAATTTAACAATAATGATATAACAAATGTTATATCTAGTCTCCAGATATAATAAATATCAACAGCCAAATTTACTTCATATCTGTTTTTCTTAAGAAATAAAACCTGCCACCGGGCGTGGTGGCTCACGCCTGTAATCCCAGCACTTTGGGAGGCCGAGGCGGGTGGATCACGAGGTCAAGAGATCAAGACCATCCTGGTCAGCATGGTGAAACCCCGTCTCTACTAAAAATACAAAAAATTAGCTGGGCATGGTGGCGCATGCCTGTAATCCCAGCTACTCAGGAGGCTGAGGCAGGAGAATTGCCTGAATCCAGGAGGCGGAGGTTGCAGTGAGCCAAGATCGTGCCATTGCACTCCAGCCTGGGTAACAAGAGTGAAACTCCGTCTCAAAAAAAAAAAAAAGGAAATAAAACCTGCCAAGGTGGTCATGGTGACTCACGCCTGTAATCTCAGTACTTTTGAGAGGCTGAGGCAGGTGGATTGCTTGAAGTCAGGGGTTCGAGACCAGCTGGCTAACATAGCAAAACCCCGTCTCCACTGAAAATACAAAAATTACCTGGGTGTGGTGGCAGGCACTTGCAATTCAGCTACTTGGGAAGCTGAGGCAGGAGAATTGTGTGAAACCAGGAGGCAGAGTGGCAGTGAGCCGAGATGGCACCACTGTACTCTAGCCTGGGCAGCCGAGTTAAGACTCCATCTCAAAAATAAATAGGTAAATAAATGAGACCTACCATATAGAATTGAGGTCCCCTTTCTTCTTTTTGATCCCATTTCCTTTCCTTGGTTTCTTCTCCAAGGGTGAACTGCTCTTCTGAAGCTATGATTTCCACCCATATTTTATGCTGTAAACATATATATTGTAATAAAATATACAGTATTGTATTTAACATTTAAATGGCATCATGTTACATGTAATGCATTCTCCCAATATTGTTACTGGGATTTGTCCTTGTTTATACATATAACCAGGCTCACTAATTTTTACCTATCATGTAGTGTTTCATTATACATATATAAAATACACACATGTATCATTATTCATCTCTTCTCCTACATTGGCTATAATTTTTGTGCTATTACAGAAAATGATGTGGTATGCACCCTTGAACATGTCTTAGTGTAAACATCTATGATCATTTCTTTGGAATATATATCTAGGAGGTAGGATATATACATCTTTAATTATACTGCATATTGCTAAATGCCCATGAATCTGATACCAGTATATACTCCTACCAGCTGTACTTGAGACTTTGTTTCTCTATGTACTTGCCCATTCTTGATATAGCCAGATTTTCATTTTTCCTTACTCTGTGGGTGCACAATGGAATGTTTCTTTTTCTTATTTTAATTTGTACTAATTTATAGTGAGATTGAGCTCCTCATATTTTACGGGCTGGATGAGTAAGTCTTCTGCAATTACTTGTACAGATCTTCTGACCATTTTTCTAGTGAATTGATTTTTTATATTGACCTATAGGATTTTATATA